ACCCTAAACTTCAGAAGTCCCGAAGCGAGAGGAGCTGCAGTCGCATCGGAGTGCCGCCGCCAAATCACAGGTGGGGGGAGGGCCAGAGTAGGCCCTTGTTCTCTTTTTGGGGGTTTAGGGTTTAGGGTTTAGGGTTTAGGGTTTAGGGTTTAGGGTTTAGGGTTTAGGGTTTAGGGTTTAGGGTTTAGGGTTAGGACACAGAGTAGGCCCTTATTCCCTTTTTGTTTAGGGTTTAGGTTCCTGTCTAAGCCTCCTCTAAACAAGCAAGGGCACCCTGTTCATTCCTAGGTTACTTTCGGGTTTAGTGTCTCTCAGGGTTCAGCGCTCGGGGGTTCACAAATGGGGCTTTGGGTTCTTAGGGCTTTCCGGGGGTTTAGGGGAGCGCGGGGGGGACCTTAAACCCGCAGCCCATACATACATACATATATATATATATACACACACACACACTTTTTTAGGGGGATCTGGGTTGTTGAGGCTCATTGTGCTTCTAGAATCTTCATCGTTCCCATTCTCTCGCACACTCGTTTTCTCTTTCTCGTTCTCTTTCTTTGTCTCTATCTCTGTCTCTATCTCCATCTCCGTCTCTCACTCTCTCACACTCCCTCTCGCCCGCTCCCATCTGTCTATCCAGGAGGAGCTCCTGCAGTCCACTCTGCATGCTACCGAAGGGAAGGAGGACTGCGCTTGTTTTTTTTTTTTTTTATGGTTGAGTCTTGAGGACTTATGGCTGCCGGAAAAAGGGCTTCCTAGGAGAACCCGAGCCCTATCAAGGGAGGCAAGCAGGCACAACTTTTCTACGAAACTGCCCGAAACCCTAATGGTGGAATTGCAGCCTGATCAGGGGGTTAGGGTTTAGGGGGATGCCAAGCTTGGGATATTTGCAAAAGTCCGACGCCCTCCACTTTTGAACTTTGAAAGCCTCGATTGATCAATCTTATACAAGCCAAAGAAAGTTCCGACGAGGTTGCAAAGAAGCTGCGGAGGGGGAGTGTCCTAGCTTCCTTCAGCAACCAAACCTAACCGCAACAACAAGTCCCTCCAAAGGATGGGTAGGGTAAATAAGCCTCTAGCAGGGGCTACGAACGTTTTGGGCTTTGTACGCGTTAGTTAAGGGGTTTTGAGCTTACAGGCTTTATGGCGCAAGAAAGACTCAAAGTCTTAGGGTTTCGGGTGTTTAGGGTTAAGGGCTCAAAACCACTGCATGGAGGGACCCTGGACCCTAAACCCTGCACCGTTCGTTTAGAGACCGAGAGAGAGAGAGAGAGAGAGAGAGAGAGAGAGAGAGAGAGGAGAGAGGGAGAGGGAGAGGGAGAGGGGAGGGAGAGGGAGAGGGAGAGGGAGAGGGAGAGAGGGAGAGGGAGAGAGCGAGAGCGAGAGGGAGAGGGAGAGGGAGAGGGAGAGGGAAAGGGAGAGGGAGAGAGAGAGAGAGAGCAAGAAGCGGTTTAGGCGGGTTCAAGGTACGGCTTGAGGGTTTGAGCGCAGATATCTCAGGCATTGGCCTCTTGACAGTGCTTTGTAGCTTCCCATGCCGGTTGTTGGAAAGGATAGTTGGGTGACATACGACCTGACTACAACCCCCCCAATGAAACCTGCTCCCTGCCAAACACAGGCCCAAGCAACCCTTAGATCAACCCCTTTCTTGGGCGTGATGTTCTGTTAAGTACTTCGGGTCACACGAACAGTCCTTAATGGGGATTATAATAGGGGGGGGGTTTAGGGTTTAGGGTTTAGGGTTTAGGGTTTAGGGTTTAGGGTTTAGGGTTTAGGGTTTAGGGTTTAGGGTTTAGGGTTTAGGGTTTAGGGTTTAGGGTTTAGGGTTTAGGTACTATAATCCCTATGAAAGACTGTTAGGATAGGGGGGAGCATCCCAAGGAACTTAGAGGGTGGGGCAAGTTGCGGAAGTCAATATTTGTTTAGGGTTTTTTTGTTTAGGGTTAGGGGTTTAGGGTTTAGGGTTTAGGGTTTTGAGTCTAGGGTGTAGGGTGCCCTTGAACAAGCTGCGGCAGCACACAGAGAAGGACATTAAGGAAGCTGGGCGCCCTCCTTCTGCGTTAAAGGCCTAAAGACCCCCTAAACCCTAAACCCTCAACCCTAAACCCTAAACACGCCTTAAATCCCCAAAAAAGCACCTCTCTCTCAGCCCGGAGTCAGTTCCAACCCCTAACCCGAAACCCTCAACCCCCGAACCCTAAACCAGAAACCTTCAACCCCGAAACCCTAAACCCTAAACCCTCAACCTTCAACCCTCAACCCTCAACCCTGAAACCCTAAACCCTAAACCCAACACCCGAACCTCAGGAGGTGGCAGCACTCCGAGTGACGCAGCAGCAGCTGGAGACGCGCCTCGCCACTTTGCAGGCACGGCATGAAATGATGAGGGATTGCGGCTGGGGGTTTAGGGTTTAGGGTTTAGGGTTTAGGGTTTAGGGTTTAGGGTTTAGGGTTTAGGGCGGGTTTTGAGGCTGCAGGTGGGTCTGTAGCTTATAGGCTTTTGAAGAGGTTTCAGGCAGATTCAAAGGTGTCTTGAAAGCATTAAACCTGAAAATATCCAAACCTGAAGTCCAAAAAGTTCAAAACCCTACGCCCTACACCTTAAAGCCCTAAACCCTAAACCCTAAACCCTAAACCCTAAACCCTAACCCCTAAACCCTAAACCCTAAACCCTAAAGCCTAAGTCCCTCAATCCCTAGATTTCGTTCGTTGGCGGCTTTGGGTGGGAGCTTAGGTTTCGGGCTTCCTTCGGTTGGGAGACTTGTGGTGACCCTAAACCCTCAACACCAAACACCAAACCCCAAACCCTAATCCCTAAACCCGAAACCCGAAACCCTAAACCCTAAAGCCTAACTCGACTCCTCCGGCAAGGGCACCGCCGGTGCACTGGAGGTCCAGCTTTCCGCTGAGGAGCGCCGGCGGAATGCGGCAGAGGAGCGCACCCACTGGATTCTTTAGGCTGAGGGCTTAGGGTTCAGGGTTTAGGGTTTAGGGTTTAGGGGGTTTAAGGTTTAGGGTTTAGGGGTTTAGGGGTTTAGGGGTTTAGGGGTTTAGGGGTTTAGGGTTTAGGGTCTAGGGTTTAGGGTGTAGGGTTTAGGGTCAAGGGCTAGGTGATAGCCCAGTGGTACCCTTTTCCTTGTCCTTTTGTTGGGTTGAAGGCTCCCTTGTAAAGAAACCAACCCCCAAAAAGGGTTTAGGGTGTAGGGTTTAGGGTTTAGGGTTACTGGGGTTTCGGGGCTACCAGAGCCCTGGCTCTGAGTCATGACAGTGATGGCTCAGAGGCAGACCCACTTTAGCATGTAGGCTTCGTATTGTCCCCAACTGTACTATAGGCACAACTTTTCCGCATACCTCTTTGGTTTTTTCCAAGAAGATCCCCTGCAATTCGGAATTTTGGGGAGTGAGGGTCTGCAGGAGGAGCCGTTAAGGGACCCTATCACCGGTGGGAGCAATGAAATCCACACACGCTCCTTGTTTGTGTCTTTTTCGAACTTCTTGCTACGCTACCGCAAGCCGCAAGGTCTACATTCCCAGACACAAAACCCTAAACCCTAAACCCTAAACCCTAGAGGAAT